AAAATGACTGTTCGGCTTGCCATGCAAACAGTCACACAAGTGCTTTCCCTGAAGACAACTGTCATCTTCCGGCATGCTGCAGAGGTGCTTTTCTGCAGATTTCCCGTTTCATCGGCACAGAATATTACAAAGATGAGTACTCGAGGATCAGGATTCAGTAACATTCATTATTTTTAGTCTTTCATCAAGGACAGTTTCAGTGAATGACTTTGGATGCGAGTGGCAGTGGGGAAACACCATGTGTGGCCCTACAATAATAGCAGGTGTCCTAAGGCAGGTACTAAGGCATCAGAAGTTTAGCCAATGACTGCTTTTTTACACCATCAGTGCAATCTCAGTACAGGAGGAATCAGAACACCTTCTTAGTGCTATTATGAGAAGAATTTTGACCTCAAGGACTCCTCCAAGTGTCTTGGGGCCACCAGAAGTCCCAGCTTACATATATTTTGAGAACCTCTGCCTTGAAGTGTCCAATTATATTAAACTTCCCTTTTCTTAAAAACAAGTAAGTTGCAGTCCCACACACACCTCACTCTAGTAACGGACCTCTCATCTTCCCTTACTTTCTCAACTCCTTGGGATAAAAAAGGGATTGTAACCCACTAATTCCATTTCTTTATCACCTACCTACAACTCAAACTCATTCACCTCCACAACTCTCCTCAAAGACTCTTATTAGACACAGTAATTTTTTAAAGCAGCCCACCTTCTCTTTTGTTATTCCTGTAGATTTTGACCTTGCAAATACTGTCCCGTGATGGGCAAGAGGCAACTATCATAAAGACACACAGAGGGAAAAGCCATGGTTCCAGGATACTGTGTGGTCTCATGGGGTCTCCTCCTTCCCTTTCACTGGTGCTACTTCTACCTTATCCATAGCTCATGAAATAAAATTCACAGTTTCTCAGTCCTCCTCTCACAATGACCCGGTCCTTAGTCTACTATACCTAGTCTCCTCTAAACAAACGGCTGCCCAACTGACATCTGAGCTCTTTCCTGAGCCCCAGTTTGACTTTCCAACTGCTCATTGGACACTTTTGCCCAAATGTTTCACCAGCACCTCAAACTCAACCCAAATGGATGGTTTCCTCTCCTCCACTGACTGCCCTCTAAATGGACTCTCAGAACCTTGAGGTCATCATCTTTGTCTCTCGTGGCTCCAGGGTCTTGCAATTCCTCAAGAATCTTCCTATTCATCACCTCTTCTTTCCTGATCCAGTTCTAATTTGAGATCTTATTCTCTTACTTAACTACTGAAATCATTTTCGAGCCATTCTCTGATCCTAGTCTCCTTGCTTGCCTCACTCCATCCTATAGTCTATCACCGTTCTAAGAAGCTGAAAATTAAATAGCAGGAAGTAGGTTACTTCTTGGGAAAGGAAGAGGAATATATTCAGAAGAAAATACAGTTATGTTTCATTTGTTAACCTGAGTAATGGGTAGGCAGATCCCATCATTCTTTATACCTTTTTCATTCTCTGCATCTTTCTGAAAGTCTGAAAGTAACCAAAAACATAAGGCATAGATATTTATTTAAACATGTATCTTGGGAGGAGGGGGTATCAAAAAAGACCCCCTCCAAGAAGAGTTTTGCATTATTGTGTTATTTCATGTATCAGTTTTATTTGCTAACCAGACTGCCAGAAAAAAATGTTTAATCATATTTTGAGATTGATCTTCACCAAGCAATGACTCAAAACACTAAAACTTTCTCACCCCTCCCCATCAAAGCTTGCTCAAGTAGCTAATGATAGATTAAAGCAAACCTAAATGGATTATGGTTGCCCCTAATTCAAAGGAACACAGCTGTGAAACCTATTTTAACTTGCTAATTTATCTGTTACCTCTCTAATTTATCTGGGTTTTTTTTATTTGCCCTTAAGCCAGAGGTATTGTTTTGTGGGTAAATGACATTTTCCCCCTAAACAATACGTTCATTTAGCAACAGAAAGCTCATTTGTGAAGAATTTATTCTGTGTGACACAGCTTATTAGGACCATTTGACAGGAAAAGGGGGTTTATATTTTGTTTGAGGGCCTCATTAAGTTACTGCTTTTTGCCAGAGTAAAAAATGCTGTTTCAAAAATATTTTAAAACACTGAATAAACTAGAATGTCTTTCCCTAAAGATGTATCCAGGTGAATGCAAACGGTAACAGGCTCTTTGCTTACAGGAAAAATGTCTGTGCTCACTTCAGCAGCAAATATACTGAAAAAAAAGTTCATTTGCCCATATAACCCACTTCCCAGATGGCTAAACATGCAAATTGCATGTAAATATAATTACTTATAAATTAACTAACACATACAAAGTGCTCATTGGTTTTGTTTTACTTTTATTTAAATTTTAAACAAAGAGCTAAGAATCAAGAATTTGTGGAGCTACAAGACCAGAAAGCAGGGTGGCTTAGCCCAGGAACAGTATTAGAAACACTTAGGAATAACTTCCTATGTCATGAGACTATGTGAAATTTCAGAAGCACTTCACTAGGAGCTCTTTTCATAGAGTCTGTTAGTCTGGTGAAAACGGAAATGCTATTATTGACAGCACCCAGAAAATGCCTTACAAATTTTTTAAATGCTCAAAGGAAATATGGAAAGCACAGGCTCAAATTTTAAATCAAAACTTAAGTGATGACATGAAACCCTAAAGTTAGGGTTTGTACATTGTAGGTCTCTACATGTTTGGGTAAAAACTCAAACTCAGCTTTAATTCACTCCAGGCTTTCCATTAGGTTCAATGACCTGGACATAAAATTTACACTTTAATATGGCAAACTTAATTAACTCCTTTGAAATGTAAAGGACTCCGTGGGAATTACAAAACACACCATCCTTTATTATTTGTCAAGTTGCATGGTTAGGCAACCACCTCCTCATCATCCAACAGATACTTGCTTGGACTTCCACCAACATCATGGCAATCCACACAGGACCACGTACTCAAACATGAACTACACCCCTTTTCCAGACACCAAAAAGGGAACACGTACCCTGTTTCTTAATTCTAGGTGAAACTTCTAGAGATTCCTTGACCTTGTTCAGAGCCTAGGTATGTCATAATTTCAGATCCTGTGGAGGCAGGTGATGCCAAATCCAAGAGCGCAGGTCTCAGGAGTGACTGCACATGCAAACCACAGGTGACTTCAATATCAACCATTGCACTTGAATTTAGCTCAGCTGGCAGCAAAGCATAAGAATGCCTCCTCACCCCCAGAAAGACAGCCAATTCCGCCTGGAGCAAAAGGAGGAAAGTTGACAGTGGAAACTATTTATAACCTCTTTTCTTTGACCAATACAAATCCTAAATTTCTGCCCCACTCTCACTCTGGGGGAAGTCATAAACTCTAGACAGGACCTCAACAACGCTCTTCACCAGAAAGGAAAAGGTTATATAATGGAGTCTAGGCCAGCCAAAATGCCAGGGACATCACCACCCAGGATTACAAACACTCTGGGGGTGGGAACGAGGGCAAGAGGTGGCAGGCTTATTCTGAAATGGGCAGACAGCCCATAAATTCAGTGACTGATATTTACTTTAGAGGAACAGGTTTTTATTTTCCATTCAACACCTGGAACATAAACAAGTGAACAGATCAACACACAACACCCTGCACACATGAATTTACAACCCAGAGGGTCTGCGCGCGTGTGGGATGGCTATCCTAACAAGACACCACTGCAACTCTCCCCTCTTCACCACCCCCCACACTGCCTGCCCGTCCTCAGCACAAAATCCTACTGTGAACCCCTTACCTGTGAACCTCTTACCTAAACCTAATGACTGGGTGTCGGGACTGAAGGGAAGACGGTGGAATTTCTCACGTCAAGATGCACACAACAAGACCTCTTCCTTGCCCAAATGCCCAGCTCCCAGCCCCCAGCCCCATCTCATCCACCACCCACGCCAACCTGCTCTTTCTGATTTTCATCTTCTGCCAGTCCCACCCCCAGCTCATTTTTAGCTTTATTTTCACCACCACCACCCCACTTCATTTTCCTACCGTGTCCTACTTCATGCCTACTCCCCACCACGCATCAGCAGAAACACAAAATGCACTTGGTGGTTAGAACATGAAGGAGTTGTACTCCCACCCCCCACGACTCAAGAGAGCAGGTGCCAGGTATTTCAAAGTGCAAATATGCGTGAGTTTTCCTAAGTTCTCTTCCAGCATTACCACATAAGCTTGTGTCCACATGGAGGGAGAAACAGGTTTCCCTACATAGGCCAGGGTTCTGAAACATGTGTTTCTTTAGGAAAATAGAATGTAAATTCAAAACACACAAATTAAAGACCATAGAGTTGTGAGTTGGGGGACTTCCCCCTCAAGAAAGGAACAATAGGTAAATTCTAGAATTGATTTTAAAAAATAAAGAACTATTAATACATCCACAAAATTCTGTAAGTTTATAGTGTCTGTTACACATTTCCAGATACAGGGGGAAAAGCAAAATATAAAATGTGTTCCTGAAAAGGTTTCAATCAGTTTGGATTTTTTTTTTGCCCTACTTCAACTATTTCCCTAAAAAAATGTTTAGATGTTAAAAAAATAAGCTTTCAAAAGCTACCAAATGGTTTTAAGTATGCTAGTTACCATAAGTTTTATCTAACTAAAGTTTCAGTTTTTCAGCCAAAGCCTGCTGTCGAATATTCTAAATCAATGAAGTACCTAAAAACAAAACAAAACAAAGTCCTGGAAACAGTGTAGTGGCTGTTTTTTCATATCTCCCCATGCTGGGGAGGTCAAAATTGAGAGGAAATAAGAGTCAACCCTTCAACAATGAATGTGTACTCACTCAACTATTCCTATACTATGCATATAATTCCAGGAATTTACATTAGTTGAACAGATCTCTGTAACTGCCCAAGGGGGAAAAAACCGTCCCAAACACATTTGGTTTAGCAAAGCATTCCTACAAGAAGCACTCAAGTTTCACTCAGGAATGAAGTGTCATTATGTAAAATCTTTAGGAGGAAAATCATTGAAAACATATTCTTACCATTTTCATTCGGCTCAGCTGGCTGGGACACTTCTCTGAACGGGATTATAACTGCATCTCCAGGCACTCTGGGGCTTTCCACATACTTGGGCTTCCTGACGGGACCTGCAGTGGGAAAGATTTGAGTGTGGCTAATTTTTTCCAGATGCAAACAAAGCTTCAGCCTGTACAGCGTGTGTCCTCACCAGGACCCAAATATGCCTAAAGGAAGAGCTGGCCCTTTCCCCTCCCTCGAACACACACACACACACAGTCACTTCAGTACAGACCTGGGAACGTCCAGCCTGGGCTGCCAAAGAAGAAATGGGTGAGTTCAGTTTCAAGGATGTAAACTCTGACAAAAAACAAGCTGCTCCTCTGCTGTGAAGTCTCTATAGCTGCCTTTGGTGTATGTCAAGTAAGCGATTTTGACGTGTCCAAACCTGGATAGCTTGTGGGGAAGGGTTCTTTATTTGGAATTTTTTCTCTAACTGGGACAAAGACAATTGGGTTGCTTGGTCTCACCAAAGTCAGGAGGCAAGGATAAACAACAGCCAGCCTGCAACACCAAGATGCTCTGAGCAGCCACAGAACGCAGGCATTGTATCAGATGGGCGTTGCAGGGCCATTGTGTGGGGCAGGGAAGATGCCTGCTCTCTCAGCAGCTGACACAGCTGCCTTCAAGAAGGCACAGCAGCCAGTCTGGCCTGAGATTCGGAGACACCGGAGAGCCTCAGAGTCATGCATCTCACTTCTCCCTCAACCCTGACTTGATAGAAAGTCTGGAATCCTTAGTAAGACGGAGTGGAACCCCCATACATCACTAGTGCAACACATGGGGGTACAGTCTCTTTGGAAAACAGTTGGGCAGTTCCTCAAAAAGGTTAAGCAGAGAGTTAACAAATGGCCCAACAATTCCATTTCTATGTGAACACATGTTCACACAAAAATTTGTGCATGAATGCTCATAGTAGCATTATTCATAGCAACTAAATGTCTATCAACTGATAACAAAATGTGATAAATCCACACAATGGAATATTATCGGGCCATAAAAAGGAGTGAAGTGCTGACTCATGCATGCTATAACACAGACAAACCTGAAAACATTATGCTACCTGAAAGAAGCCAGTCCCCACAGACCACGTATTATGTGATTACATTCATATGGAATGTCCAGAATACAGAACTCCACAGAAACAAGATAGGAAAGGCTGCCCAGGGCTGAGGGGGATGCAGGTTTGTGGGCTGATGGCTTGCAGGTATGGGATTTCTTCTTGGGGTGATAAAATATTCTAAAATTAGGTCATGGTGATGGTTGCACAACCTTGTGAATATGCTGAAAACTGCGGTAGTGTACATTTTAAATAAGTGAATTGTATGCTATGAGAATTATATCTAAAAAATCTCCTTTACAAACAAAAACCAACAACAAAAGATTGCCTGTTCTATCTGTTCCTTTCAAATATCATGTCACATGTTGGTCCAAAACTACTCACTGGACTCTCATTATCCTTGGTTGCCTGATACTGAAAGTATGCTTTTCACGAGGCTACAGAGCCAGGATACACTCACAGCATGAGAGGAAGGGGATGGGAAGAGGGCCAACAGGGGTCCACAGCTCTCCCAGCAGCTCAGCACTGGGCCACTGGCCTGACGCTGTGGGGGCCTCCCCTCCATCACCACACACTGAAGGGGTGAGTCAGGCTAGTTCTGAGCATCCTTCTGGATAGAACATCTTACACGTCTGAGACAGTCTGTTCAGAATGAGGTTTACGGTGAGAGATGCTGCCACCTAAAGGTTTACTGCTAAAGCACCTATACTACAATAAAAATAATCCAATTCCCAGCCAGCTATAATGCATGACATCTTAACAAAAAATACATTATCAAAGAAGCTTATGGTACTTGACAAAAGAGCTATTGTTTCAAACTTCAGACACCATGGTTTTTAAAACCTTTTTCTGTTCCAGGACCCAATCTGAGATTCCACTATGTTCTGTTGCATATAGTCATCCTGTCCCCTGGTCTCCTCTTCCTGGCATTTCCTCAGTCGTCTCTTGTTTTTTCATGACCTTGACAATTTTGAAGCCTGTGGCTGATATTTTGTAGTATTCCCCTCAATTTGGATTTGCCCGATGTTTTCTTATGACCAGACTGGGGTCACAGGTTTTTGGAAGAAGGCCACAGAGATGACATGCCCGCCTTGTCACATCTTACTGCAGTGTCTCACGATTTCAGCATGGCTCTTACTGGTGTTACTAACTGTGATCACTCAGTTTGTGGGCGTCGCTCATGTTTCTCCACTGCAAGGTTCCTGGTTTTCCTTTTCCGTCCTCTGTTCCTAATAGGTGAGTCACTAAGTTTAGACTGCACTCAAAGAAGAGGAGAATTAAGGTCCACCTCCTCGAGGAAAGAGTGTCAAGGAAATTTTGGACATTTGTTAAAAGCACCCCAGTCATTCCTAAGTATTTGTGGGGAGATACTGTGGGACTCTGCAAATGTCCTGTTTCAGGTCAGCCCCCGGATCTGAGCACCCTTCCTGCAGTGCTACCTGCAGCACTGACCCCGGAGGCGTTCCAGGGTGAGTTTGTACTTCCCCGTTTCCTCACTGGCATCACCTGGAATTCTACTCTAAGGAACATTCATTCGTCTGTGTCAGAGATGGAATTTGTGAATGGGTAAACAGGGATGGTTCTGCGGGGGAAGAGGGAGAATATGCTCACAGCCTAAGTGGAGGATGTAGGCTCGACAACAGAATACAAAGTACGATTCAGACTTTAACTGAGAGAGACACATACCCACACAGACACACGCAAGGAGGAAAAGACCGGGGGAGGAGAAACTAAGACACTTACTATGGGGAGCTGGAAACTAGGAAGGGCCCGAACAGGGAGGGCAGAGAGGGAACCAGAACAAACATGAGAATCTTTCTTCACGTTTGCTTTGAAACCTACTCCCTATGGTAAAAGAACTCACAAACACATTTCTCCCCAGTCATCTGCTCTTTTCTATTTAAAGGACTTAAGGAAGATAGCCCACTTAATTGTTATTACCCGATTATTCAAATTGTCCCAATCAGTCACCATGCTACTGCATAAGAGTTACCTGTAAGTTTCGGCTCACCTCAACTCTTCAGTTTACAGTGACAGCAGGTCTAAAAAGATCTACTTCTTGGCTCCAATCTACCTACCCCATACATCCCTCAAAAATATTCTCTAGTAATAGGTACTCTCTAAAATGTGGGCTACATCACATGGATGTACAACAGTCATTAAGAATGGCTGGGACACCGAACCCCAAGGCCGTCAGAGCACTCATGCCCACCCATTTAACTGTCTCAACTGTGTTCTGTTCAGAGGCCAACCACCAACTATAAGAATTCCTCAACACTTTAAAATAAAGAATTACTCAAGACTGAGGAGTGAGGGTATTAAGAGCAGAGCCCCTAGGCTTACCACAGTGAACAGTGATGCTGGGTGCAAAAGGAGACCCAGAATGTGCTAAAGCAAACAAAACATGCATTCAGAGACCCCATACATGGCTCAGCACTCACAAACATTAATTCACCGATCTTAATAAATTTGGGAGAAAAACACTCTTTTCCCCATTTTTCAGGAAACTGAGGCTCCAATCAGTTAAACAATTTGCTCATGGCCCACACATGGCAGAAACACAGTTTTGTAGTCTGTGCAGGTTTGAAGTCCACATATGAACCCACCACTTAGCACTTACACAACTAGGAAATCCCAATGACACGGGCATTTGTAGGAAAGGCCAGGGCAGGGGAAACTTCCACCATCCAACCAGCCATGGACCTAGGCTACACAGTCAGCAACTGTCTTACTCATACTTACTTGTCTGATTCCCCACACCCCCCAACTTGACTAGGAGTTGAAGTATTATGAGGTGAATATAAACAGATTGCCAAGGAGCAGTGGATGGAGCCGACTAGGACACCCGAGTGCCTGGGGTGGGGTCGGGGAGACAGGAGCACTCGGTCTGAGACAGGAGACCCCTCTGGAGGTAGTGGCATGGGTGGGGTCAAACTCAGGACCATGCGTTGAAAATCTATTTCAGATCCCCCTACCTGCACCAGGTGCATTCTCTCCCTCACCCTGGAAATTGAGTTTTTCTCTGGGAAAGCTGAATGCCAAGGCCGTGCAGACACAGGAGCTGTACCCTTGAGGGCTACACTGAATAACTGAGGTTAAGAAAAAATTCTGCAGGCTGGTGGGTCCCAGGTGGACGCATCCTCCTTCTCAGCTGTCAGGACCCTGACAGCACGCTTACCCTCCACAGCAGGAAGAGACTAGATGATTCCTCTCTGGGGAAATTCAACAAGAGAAAAAAGACCTATAAATCATCACAGTTGGAGACACACCCCCAAATAAATGGCGGCTCCCTGACAACCACACTACCCAAAGCCTGCGCTTAGTACACGCCCAGCCCTCTCCTCCAGCGTTTTTGCATCTCATACTTACATACCACCAGCCAGGGCCACCAGTTAGAAAGGGCCCACCCTGACAGCCAGCCACCAAGCCAGGTTAAAAAAGGAACTCCGAGGAGTTGCAGAAAACAGGAGGAATGCCCTCCAGAATGAGAGGAGCTTCGACACCCACCACACAAGGGGCTGCTATGATTTGGGGTCACGTTCGGGGTGCCTGAGGTGGTCGGCTGAGCAGACTGACTGCACAACGAGGACAACTGGAGGCTACACCAGTTAGGAGCCACTGACATCATCAGGCACTAACCTTACACTTAAACTGTCATCTATTCAACCACAACGACGTGGACAGGAAAAACTCCCCCTAACTGAAGTGGCCACATTCCTTGCGAAGTGCTCAACAGGGATCAAGAGTGAAAAATCCATCTCCCCAGCACCTCTTTACTCAGGTAACTGACTGCCCAGCACCTTCCCACACACAGCTTTTTGTTTAAAATGAAATGCAGAGGCTACCTTGAAGGAAAATAATTTTTCTCCTTTACATAAACCAGGTGCCACCAATCTCCCCGAGGTGACCAGAATTCCATACCACTACATGATAATTACCCAGGAATGCATGGTATTCCAGCTACTATCTCTGTTTTCAGGCAAGAGGCTCTTAAAAACAAGACAAGACTGT